AACCCTAAACCTGAAAAGCCCTAAACCCGAATAGACGAAGCAGCCCTGTGTCGGCCGAGGCCGGCATCGCCGCGCCGGGCGGCCGGTGCCCGAAGGGGTTTACTTGGAGGTTCACGGGTAGTTATAAGTGGCCACCTCCTCCTGAAACAGACTTTGCACTCAAGGATCTTCACCCTGGGTTTGGGGCTTAGGGTTTAGGGACTAAAATTAGCGGTTTAGGGTTTACGGTTCTACTTGGAGGATCATGGGACTTAGTAAGTAAGGTTATAACTACCTTGATTGGGGTCATAATTACTTACTAGTATAGTTACCTTATTTATAACCCCAGTTACTAAGTCCCATGATCCTCTAAGTATGACTCTACTTATCCTACTTATGTCCCTACTTATAACTACCCATGAACCTCCAAGTAGAAGCTGATTGGCCCAGACCTTCCAAACACCCGTGATTGCGGAATATGCCTTAAAGTATAGCAGGGATCCCACGATAATTTGAGGCAAAGTCCTAAACTGAGGAATATAGATACTTCTAAACCCTAAACCCTAATCCCTAAACTCTAAACCCTAAACCAGATACTTTAAGCTATAGCAGGGATCCTACTATGATTTCGGGTATATTGCTTTATTGAGGGGGTGTTTTGGAAGGTCTCGGAACGTGGAGTTTTTGAAGCCCAAAGGAGCCCTAAACCCCAAACCCTAAACCCTAAACCCTAAACCCTGAACCCTAAACCCTGAACCCTAAACCCTAAACCCCAAACCCTAAACCCTAAACCACTGCCTAGGAGAGCAGAGGGAAGGAGCCGGATGACCACCGCCGCGGCCCCGAGAATACGGGACATGTGCCATTGAATGTGCGAGCGTCAGAGACTCCAAAACCCCTTAATTAAGGAATATACCATAAATCACAGTAAACCCTAAACCCTAAACCCTAAACCCTAAACCCTAAACCCTAAACCCTAAAATTCAAAGTGTTTTCCTTAATTGAGGGACTTTGGAGTCTCCGGGGACCATCAGAGTCATCCGAGGTGGTAGCCGAAGTGGCGATGTGGCGCCTGCTGCAAGGACGGCAGACAGCAAGCCAGGGCGTGAGAGGGTTTAGGGTTTAGGGTTTAGGGTTTAGGGTTTAGGGTTTAGGGTTTAGGGTTTAGGGTTTAGGGTTTAGGGTTTAGGGAGGGAGAAGCTAGCTCTAGCACCTCGTAGCACGTCAAGATGAGTGCCCAGAGAACCCAAAATACCTTCATTAAGGAATATACCTTAAATTCCTGAATATTCTGATTTAAGGTATATTCCTTAATTAAGGGGTATTGGGTTCTTTGGGTGTGGTATGTGCTAATTTACCTTCCAGGCCGCTGGGCGAACGGCGAGTGACGAGAAGAGGTGCCAGTGTGCGTGGGAAATGGCTGGGTCCAAAGGGTAAGGTTTAGGGTCTAGGGTTTAG